CTGATCCCAATATCACAACTATTGAGATTATCCCAATAATCTGTTGAAAAATAAGACATTGTTAGATGCAACGGGTAACAAGATTTGTTTCTCACATGTCAGGTTCAAGAAAACAAAAAGTGCATGTAAGAATCATTGTCATTATCATGAATATAAAATTTATAACAAGTCATGAACAATCAAACTTCATATGAGGAACTTGGCTAGTTTCTCATGAAGCGAGTAACATTGCGGAATGAGAACAATACACATGAAAAGGGTTCATGAACAAAGTGAAAAGAAATCTAAAAACAAAACCTGGGGAAACGAAAAATGATTTATATTATACATTAAAAATGACAGTGACCATGAATCAAAGCATAATCATAGCCGATAAATATATCGGACAAGCTCCAGCGAACGGGAAGATAATTACATAGGAGTTTCTTTTCTCTAGACATAGCGATTTCATGATCTGAGAAAGTATCTGTAATGATGTTCTAGTTTTCTGAGGAAGACACTGAGAAAGACGAAGGCATGCGCAATTTACAAAAGAGGATTTGAGGATTGTGATTTGTGAATGCACCAGAAACGGAAAATATTCTGAACCTTTTATAGAAAAATCTCATGACATTAATAGTAATGTGGTCAAATTCATTTTTTTAAAAAAAATCTTTCTTAGTTTGTCTAATAAATCAAATCTAATGGAGTGTATATCGTCCGTGGTATATTATCCAAGATTTTAGTTTGTTTGTTCTCTTTTTACAGAAAACTAAGTTGTTTTCGGAATCAATATGACGTCGAACTTCGACGTAACGATCAAATAATAAAAGTACATAATGACGTCCATTGAAAGCACAATGCATCTGTTTCAGGTATGTTCATGCATGACCGTTTCGCCCTTTGAATTTTGACTAACACTTCGTTTGGAAATGGATGGATATCTTATCCCAACAACTCTAAATAAATTGAAGGTCCAATCAGCTTTTTGATTGATTATGGAAATGCTTTCAAACGATGGTCAACTCTTTTTATTGCAAACAATTTTTTGGGCCATACATTAAAATATAATAATTATTTTATAATTGGGAAAGTGTCAATTTGGGAACTATTTTAATGCATACAAAAAAAGCATTAGTTCGAATAGTAAGAGTGATGACCATTTAAATACAAAGTATTAAATTTGATTTTCTATAAATACAAAAAATACCTTTAAGATAGCCAGTAGCTACCATCCGTTTGCAGCTCAACCTAATCTGAACTTAAATTAGTTGAAGTGTAATTTGACTTTGAAAAAAGATGTTATGGACAAAAAAGCCCATACATGATTGGAGAATAGGCGGTTTTGAAAATCAAAAGATCTGTCACATGGACAAAACATTCCAGTTAGAAAGAAACTCAAGGGAAAACAAAAAAAATTATATTCTTTCTGTTTAATTAATGAAGCATTGCAAATTGCTTTGTTAAGGAATGACTAAAAAAGTGTATAATTTCTATCTTTTGCATTAAGGTATGTAATTTCTCTAATTGATTCTTTTTTAAAAAAGAAAAAAAGAAAAATGAAGTAAGAATTTGATCCCTATAATTTATCCATAATCAATCATGCCACTATAGTTTCAAGTTTCAATGTTTCTTAATCATCTAAGAGTAGTCTTTATGGTTTGTAAAAGAAGTAAGAAAACAAAAAAGTAAGAACAAAAATATTTCACAGAAAAAAGTTATTCTCAAGTTTAGAACTTTTACGTAGTTAACCAGCGCCCCTCCCTCCATGTCATTTTTCCTACGTTGTTTTCAAACCAAAAGGATTAGTTCTTCTATATGGTTATGAAACTACAAGAACATGATTGACAATAATTATACTATAAATACTAAATTGATAATTGAATGAAAGTTTAGAAATTAAAGTTTCTTTTTTCTCTTTTTTTTCATAACAATCATTTTCCCTTCTTTTTTCTTTTTTCTTTTTTAGTACCATGTTCCCAACCGAGCATGGGTGCTTTGGCCCGTAACATTTTTTTAAGACCAGAGAAAGACTTGCATTTAACCATCGTTTTCCAATTTTGGGGTTCTTAACTCTTGTTATCCTCCAAGCGTTATTTGCCCTCTATACTAATTCTTAAATAAAATGGCTAAAATATATATTTAACCCTTTAACATTATATAATATTTTATTTTAATTTCTTAACTTTATAAAATATCTTTATAATCCTTTAATCCTAACACTGTTAATTTTACCCCAATAAATTTTTACATTGAACTTTCAAATATTGATAAAATAATTTCAAATATTAACATATTAAATTTAATTTTTTTTTAAAATAACAATGATTGATACAAAAAAATAATCATTTAAAACTAACAATTTTAGGATGAAATGACTAAAAATATTTTATAAAATTAATGGATCAAACTCAAATCTTATATAAAATTAAAGAACTAAAAGTATATTTTAATTAAATAAAATTTAATTTTAGATTCTGTTCTTCATTCCTATTGGACAGGATAGAATTAAGTTGACCTCACATCTTTTTGTCATAACAATATTTCTTTCATTCAATTGGACGATGTAGATAGTCATTAATAATCCATAATCAGTGTTAACCCATAAAAACGGGTGCCATAATGAACTTTATTTATAAGTTAAAATATATATTTAATCTTTTAACTTTATATATTTTATTTTAATTTCTTAACTTTATAAAATATCTTTTTAATTCTTTAACTTTAACATTATTAATTTTATTTTAATAAATTTTTATATTGAACTTTTACATATTAACAAAACATTCTCAAATGTTAACATATTAACTTTAATTTTTTTAAAATAAAAATAATTAATACAAAAAATAATCATTTAAAACTATTAATATTAAAGTTAAAGGACTAAAAAATATTTTATAAAATCAAAGAACCAAATTAAAACTTTATTTATATTAAGAGAAAATAAAAAATATATTTATATATATTTCAGTTCCTTTCAATTTATTTAGGTATTTTGCCTAAGGAACCGAATCTGATAACGGGAAAAAAAAAACAAAAAAAAAAAAAAGCAGAACCAAAATTGAATGGACCAAATTCAATTCAATTCATTTTGGTTTTGCTCACACCTACATACATGTTGGCGAGACTCATGCAATTAGACAAAATAAGACTTCACGCAAGCATAAACTCTGATAAATTTGTCACTAGTCCTAATTTTTGCATCATATATCAGCATTTGAATTTGGAACCTCATAAATACCTGTAAAGGCTTGTCATGAGCGCCAATGCTAGCATTCAAGTCCCAAGTTTGACAGTTATCTAACGCGAAAAAGACTATGATGGATAATTACTACGGTGATATTAATTTGGACAAGTTTTTGCACCAGATGCTCTGCTCACAATACAAGGAAGAAGCCCGTTTGCAATATATAAATAGACACATGATTTAGGCACAACCATCTAAGGCAGTATAAACTCATTTCTAGGTAATCCTAGATAATCTAGTTGGCCGCAAGGGTGTCAAAATAATTTCAGCCAATGTTTGATTGGAAATGGAAAAGGGAGAAGACAGCCAAATGTCACGGATGATATTTCCGTGACCGTGTAAAGACCAATGTAAAGAACGATCCGCTTGTTAGCCTCGCACAATATGAGTAAAGGGGGCGACATTAGCATTGGGGGTATTCTGCCTCAATCTTCGGACTGTGTGCACAACTGGTCGGGGCTAGTGCCGCCTCCCTGATGAGCCCATGGCAGGGCGAAACCAGTGTGATCCGTATGTGGTAAGGCTTGTCCTGAGGATTGTGGTTGTCCTCCAGGACGCCGCACGGGCGCTGTGTGCTGCGCCAGACTCTCAGCTCGTGACAGAGTGGTATCAGAGCAGGACGTACTTTACTGCCGTGTGCCTGTGGGGTCCCACATTGGGACTAGTCGGCCTCGACACCGCTCCAGAAAGGCCTCCGAGCAAGTGGGTCCAAAAGTGGGGACTCGGGCGGGAAGGTTGGCCATTGTCGACTCCACTCCTGTTGGCTCGTGGGTGCAAGTGGGTCCGAAGAGTGCGGGACTCAGGTGGCCACTCAGCAGTAAGCTGATGTGTTTGTGGCAGTACTGTACGTACGATCCTTGGGCGGAGTCGTTCTCCCCTAGCACGAGGGCGTGCTAGATTAGGTGTGGGAGAATGTCACGGATGATATTTCCGTGACCGTGTAAAGACCAATGTAAAGAACGATCCGCTGGTTAGCCTCGCACAATATGGGTAAAGGGGGCGACATTAGCATTGGGGGTGTTCTGCCTCAGTCTTCGGACTGTGTGCACAACTGGCCGGGGCTAGTGCCGCCTCCCTGATGAGCCCATGGCAGGGCGAAACCAGTGTGATCCGTATGTGGTAAGGCTTGTCCTGAGGATTGTGGGTGTCCTTCAGGACGCCGCACGGGCGCCGTATGCTGCGCCAGACTCTCAGCCCATGACACAAAGCACAGAAAATGAAACTACTTTTTTTTAATGTGATGTATATTACTCTCTTCAATTCTAAATACAAGAGCTAGTTAACTAATTCACATAGATTGAGGAAACTAGGTATGTTGGTTATTTGTTAAAAAAAAAAATGTGAGTGGTTATCCTAAAATACTCATCCTTTTAATCATTTACATGGACGTATTATCAGCATAGCTTACATCATACAAGAATCTTACCACAGAAGTAGTTTGGAGAGGGGAAAAAAAAAGATAGGAAACAGAGAAGATTGAGGTCTTACATGTAGGATCAAAACAAACTCTTCAACAAGCTCCTACGTTTATGATTGTTATGACTGGAGGGAGTATTTCCTTGTTATTCTGAGTCAACAGTGTGTGTCACTTCTTCGTAATAGATAATGAGTCACTTCCATTCAAATCATCTTTCATTTATACCTTTCATTTCTAATATTATGTAAACCAAACTTATGGCACATACCCTTTAACTTCTGTTTCTCTCTCTCTCTCTCTCTCTTGATAGAACCCTATATGTTCTTTATAAACAATGAAGTACCAAAACTAGTAGTCTACTCAAACCTGTATCCTTGCAATATATCTTGTATATCCTTTTAACCGTCCAAAAGGAGGTTCATCACCTTTACAATAATAACAGATGGGTTAGAAACCACTGAAACCAGTGTAAAATTTTATACACTTCACTCAATAAAATATGGAATATTACTATAAATCTGACAATTGAGCTACAAGTAACAAACATTGCAGAACTAAACAAAAAAGGAAGAAAAAAAGGTTTCACAGGCTTGGTAAAGAATCAACGTTGAACCTAACATCACATGCTACAATGGCACTAAAGACCGCAATACGGTTTGAGTTGATCTCAACGAAAAGCTAGAGAGTAAAGATAAGCTTCACTAACCCCACAGTTGATGGTAAACAGTTTTTTTTTTTTTCCCTTTTCTCTTCATTTAGAACAATGAAGTTGCAGCTGAAACACTTTCACAACCTTCCACAATAAATGGAACTTTATCATGTTGCTTGTAATTTGTCCACTTAAACCGCTGAAATAATTTTCTTTTTATCCTTGCGCTGAAAATATATATATGACAATCATCTTTACTTCTGTGCTAAGAATGCAGTTTCCACAGGAAGGGCCAAATGAAGAACTGAAGAGCGCGTCATTTATGCAGTTTCCTCGGGAAGGAGAAAACTTTTAAAGCCTATAATCAGATAAAGAGTCGTAGCTTTATTCCTAAATAGAAGGAAATTACTCGTGCCAGCAGAGGATCAATAATGCAACATGCCAAACATAGTAGAGGAGAACTAAACTAGATTCACCGATCAGGTAGAAATTTATCAGTGAACCACCAATAACTTGTTAGAATGGCAACAAAAAGAATCTAAACGCCTGCAAATGAGTTTCAGACACTAATCCTGACAATGATACTATAAATTTACCAGTAAACTGAAGAAATGCTTGGTGAAGAAAATGAAGAAAGTTAAGCTTTACTAGCCCCGCTGTACGTAGCTTCCTCCTTCTACCTACATCTAAAACAAATAATCGCCGCTAAAAAAACACTTGCTTTACCACAAAACCTGAAACGCCAAAATATCATGACAAACCAATCTATCTCAAAGCTTGCAATTCTCAAACCAGATTCTAACCCCAGCCTAAAAAGGAGAAAAACCCACGCTTTGGCTCCTCCTCAACCATCACTGCCTGCATACTATCCTGCTCTACAAGCCTCCATGCCGCCTGCTCAAAGGCCAAACCGGCCAAAGTTGGGGGTTTATTCAGTACTAGCGGGTACCCTCTATTTGTACTCCGAATCACCTCGGCATCCTCAGGAATCACCCCCAGAAGAGGCAATCCTAGCATTTCTTGAACATCAAGCACGGACATCATATCCTCCCCTTTGATCATATCCGTCCGAACCCGATTCACAATCATCTTTATATCCCTAATTCCATCACATTCGAGCAATCCCGTGACTCTATCAGCATCTCTCAAGCTTGTAATATCTGGTGTGGTAACCAGAACTGCCTCATTGGCTGGGGTTATGGCAGTTATGAACCCCGCATCAATCCCTGCAGGACAGTCAATTATAATGAAATCTGGTGAACCTTCCTGCCTCGACTTCAAGGCATCCACGAGCCAAACCAAGGCTTTTCCACCAAACCCAATCGGCAGTTTAGACCTGGGTTTGGATATACAGAGCAATTCAAAATTTGACCATCGCTTATCTCTCACGAGAGCTTGGTCAAGCCTGCAATCGCCGTTGAGGACTTCAACAACAGTGTAGTTAACTCGATTCTCGAGGCCGAGAAGGAGATCGAGGTTCCGAAGCCCAACATCAGCGTCAATAGCAACGACAGAAAAGTCGAGACGGGCAAGTGAAAGTCCGATATTGGCGGTAGTGGTGGTCTTGCCGACGCCACCTTTGCCGGAAGTGATGACGACGACGCGAGGAGTTTCGCCGGCCAACTGGGGTTTTCTGTTCCATTGGAGCACTGCTTTTACGAGGGAGGTTGAGCAGGGCTTAGATTTGGGTTTTAGGGGTTGGACATTGAAGGAGATGGGGCACAAGAAGTTGCTATTGAAGAATGCGGGCGCAGAATTGAGAGTCTTCGTCGGAAGGCTAGAACTCGAAGCAGAGACCGGGGAAAGCTTGAGAGCTTGCATCGGGGACGAGAGTGGAGGGGGTGACAGTGAGTGCTATTTTTGGCCAGACTGTGACTAGTGACTACGCGGGATCGCATTTGGTGCTCATCAATGCTGCTAAGCACCGTGCTCATCATCTCCATGCAATGATCTAGGCCCTTCATTTTTTTTCTAAAATGATATCTGCCGTTAACTTAAAATTATTTTTAAAAATATGTTTATATTAAAGTTATTAAAATAAAAATTATAAAAAAATAATATTAAATATGAACTATTCAGAATTTATTTAGATAATCAATTAATTAAAATTATAAAATTTTTAATATTAAATTAAACTTTTTAAATTATGTCTATACTATCCAGAGTATGTATGGATAATCAATTTGTAAAAATTATGAAAAAATAATATTAAATTGGGTTATTCAGATTAAATTTGTACTTACCAAATTAGTGATAAAAAATTTATTAAAGACTTTTATATTTTTTACATATTTTTTATTTTAATAAATATAAAATAAAAGTAAAAAGTTTAAATTGAGGCAATCTAGACCTTATCAAGGGTGATAAATATTATAATATTTATCCTCTAATAACATAAAAAACAGTTTATATTTAATATTATAATATTTATATCTTTTTTATAAATATAATATTAAAATACTTTAAAAATAATTTTAAATCAATGGCAGGGATCATTTGAAGAGAAATAAATGACTCAGATCTTCCCACATTAGCAATGAGGACCAAATGTGTTTTCGTGACGGCGCTTGGGGACGAAAGGAAAAATGAAAACTGTTAGTGATATATGCAAAAATAAATTATTAATATAAAATATTAAAATTAATTATATAATACTCCTTCCGTCCTAAATTTTAGGACACTTTTAAAAAATTTCTTCATCCTAAAATATAAAACACTTTGGATAAATTAAGGTTTTATTAAATACACTAATTTTAATATTATTAATTCTTTTTTTATAATTAATTTACATCCCTATTCTTTTCAATGTATTAAATGATGAGTATTTTAAAAATTTTATATTTTTATTTTAAAAAGATAAGATTGTTAAATATATTTAATGAGATTTATTGATATGTGAAATTTTATTTAAAAATATTTTTTAATTTAAAATGAAAGAAATATAAATTTTATAGAAAATGAAACTTTATCTCTTGCCTTGGAAGAGGCTTTTTTACCAACAAATTGCAAACAGTAAAAAAAATTATCGAAATGCTACACCGTGAAAAATATTTACCTAAATGCTATACTGAGAATTGTAACACCCTCAAATTTACAAACCGATTTTTCGCAAGTTATTAATTCAAGAAATCATTTTTTTTTTCATTGAACCCTTATCATACCCTTATCATGGTAGAAAAATTTCTACCATGATACATCCAAGACAATATACCACAGGTCTTAAAATATCTCAAAAAGTAATTAGAACCATGAGGGACAGACATGATCCTCATAGCATGTTATTTAAATTAGGTCATGAATCAAAAGGGACAGACATAATCCTCTTGGACATATAAATGCATTTAATAAAAAGGATTAGAGTTTACATGCTCCATAGACAAGATATGTCCTAAGTTGGCACAAGATACATTGTATAATCCAAAATAAGAGGCAACGTAAAAGATGGTGTCTCATACACCATAATTACACCTCTGGTGCTTTCTCGGCCGGATTCGCTCCTGTAAAAATATTAACCACGGGGAATGAGACTTAAAAGTCTCAGTAACCAAAAATTAATATGTAATGATGCATGCGGATGTAACTAATCATGCGATTGCTAAGTGGGCACACAACATTTAACCGAACAATATTTTCAAACAAACCGAACAAGTATTTAATTGCATGACTGCACCTTATATCCTCCTTTCACCATGCTCGGACGCCAAATCACCCGGCCAAAGGTGAGTTGGACCAAGCGACACGCCACTCATTGGGTCCAATGAGGGCTTACCACGTGGTAATAATTAACCGAACAGAAATTCCCATTAACACCATACATTAAAATACCCTGACAAGTCATGCATCATTCAAATATCCAAACAGGAATATATCCGAACAATAATATCTCATCATGATAAACAAAAATAAATTTTTAACCCACTTGGCAATAATTTCAAACAAGTATATACAGTATTTATTTTCAATAATTCATAATTTTTCCAAACAACAAAACAACACATAACCATTCACAAACACACTCATCACAACACATTAATAATGGTTACCTTGTGTCTTGAATAACAAGTTCCCCTTCACAACTCCTTTTTCACCACTATCTTTGTCAATATAATCTACATAATTATTTCACAATACTATATATTAATTTTACATTAAAATAAATAACTCTAATTTAAAGAGTTAGAAAGTCTTAAATCTATAGTCCATATTAACACTAATTTAAGATTTATGCCTTATTTAACTTCCCAAATTCTTTTCTAAAATTCTCGTACCCTAATGAACTATTTTTTTTTTTTATCCTCAATTCACTTCTAGTATCGCAATTTCATCCTTCTACATTCTAAAAATTCATCTAAAAATAAATTAAAAATTTTAGAATTATCCTGAAGCCTCAAATCACCTTTCTATAACCTCAAAAATACCTATTCATACTTAAATAAATATTTAATAATCATAGATTTATCCCTACATCTCATATTCCACATAAATTCAACCATATAGATCTAGATTTTAACTCAAAAATTCTTAAACATGAGTTTCAACCTTAAGAAAATATTCTATAATATTTACTATATCCCTAAGAATTTTAACCTATATTTTTAATCCATCATATCATCAGATTAACTATCCTATAGAAAAATCCTAATCAAAATATTTACTCTATCCTACAAAATAATCATATCACTAGAAAGCTAATATTATTTAGAAAATAACTATAAAATTAATTTTGTAATTAAATAAATTTTTAAATGCTAATCTAAACAGGAAAGTTAGAACATACCTGAAGAAAAAGAAAATAATCCCCCCTTGCGAGAAAACGCCGAGCAACGTGAGAGGAAGAGAGAAAAATAATATAAAAATGGGATTGTGAGTCCCAAAATTATATTAAAAAAAAACTATAGGTTTGAATTTAATTATTCAAACCTTTGGGCCCAAAGTTGCAATTTTCTCTAAATTGCATCTTAGCCTCTCATGCTTCCTAATGCACACACCCCCTCCTTTTTATACATGAAGGCACCTCTTCTCTTCCCTCATCTAACCAATGTGGGACTTAGAAACAACAACCTTCCACCCCCCCTTTTTTTTTTCCTTCTACCTTCTCTTTTTTTTTTAACACACACATAAAAAAAATTATTTATGTATTATATCTTAACTAAATATTGCTTATGTGATTTTAAATTTAAATTTTTAAATTCATAATTAAATACCTAATCATAATATTATTTCTAAATAACCTCAAATAATATAAATTCCTATTATTATCATTTTTTTCCTCAAAACCTAAATTCCACAATTTCTTTATTATATAAAAATCAGGATGTTACAATTCTCCCCTCCTTTTAGAAATTTTGTCCTCAAAATTTAATAGATAAGCTTAGAAACTATGTACCTAAGCAAATAAATGTGGATAATCTCGCCTCATACTCTCCTCGGTCTCCCAAGTAGCATCACCTAGGGCTCCACCCTTCCAAATCACCTTCACGAGTCGGATGGTCTTATTGCGTAGTTGTTTGTCCTTAAAGTCCTCAATTCGCTCCGGTTCGGATCTAAAGGTCAAATTCTCCCTCAATTCTACTTCTTCAGGTTCAATAACATGGGAGGGATCCGGGTTGTACTTCTTCAACTGTGATACGTGGAACACATTATGGATACCTGCAATCTGTGGAGGTAATGCAACTCTATATGCAGTAGATCCAATTCGCTCCAAGATCTCATACGGGCCCATAAATCTAGGTGTCAATTTCTTTGCCTTAATGGATCTACCAATGCCTGTCACTGGAGAAACCTTCAAAAATACATGATCTCCTACTTCAAACTCTAACGGCCGTCTCCTCTTATCAGCATAGCTCTTCTGTCGGCTCTGAGCGGTTAGCAATTTTTGCTTAATCATTGCAATCTTCTGGGTGGTTTGCTCTACAATTTCTGGACCAATGATACTCCTCTCACTTAATTCTGTCCAACATAAAGGCGATCTACACTTCCTTCCATACAAGGCCTCATAAGGCGCCATCCCAATACTAGAATGATAGCTGTTATTATAAGCAAATTCAGCTAATGGCAAATGATTATCCCAACTACCTGGTAGTTCAATGGCACAAGCTCTCAACATGTCCTCCAAAGTCTGGATCGTCCTCTCTGTTTGTCCATCTGTTTGGGGGTGGTATGCGGTGCTAAAACTCAGTCTGGTACCCATAGCCTTCTGTAGCGCACCCCAAAAGTTTGAAGTGAACCTTGGGTCACGATCTGACACAATTCTAGAGGGTATACCATGAAGTCTAACTATCTCCTTAATGTATATCTCAGCAAATTTCTCTAATGTAGAGGTAAACTTGATCGCCAAAAAGTGAGCTGATTTGGTGAGTCGGTCTACTATCACCCAAATAGCATCCTTACTCGAGGGTGTTCTTGGCAGTCCAGTGATGAAATCCATAGAAATATCATCCCATTTCCACTTTGGAATATCTAACGGTTGCAGTGTTCCAGCTGGCTTCTGATGTTCTATCTTTATCTTCTGACACGTTAAACATCTAGAAACAAATTCAGTTACATCTTTCTTCATTCCTGGCCACCACCAACCTCGCTTCAAATCATGGTACATTTTAGTTATACCGGGATGAATTGTATATTTGCTCCTATGAGCTTCTTCTAAAAGGATATTCCTCAATCTTGGATCATTAGGTACACAAACTCTACCTTTATACTTCATCACTGTGTCCTCAGAGATGGTAAAATTTGGGGCCTTACCTACCACTATCTCCTTCCTTATATTCCTTAAGTAGTCATCACTTTGCTGTGAGACTCTGAGATCTTCCCAGAATTTGCTCTCAAAGTCTGCTACCTGGAGTGCGGCCATTTGATGTTCAATCACATCTACTGGAACATCATGAAAACTGTTCCATAAATGATATTCATGAACCATCAAATGTGCAGCATGAATAGTCTTTCTACTTAAGGCATCAGCTACCACGTTAGCCTTACCCGGATGGTAATGTAATTCAAAGTCATAATCCTTTAGAAATTCCATCCATCGTCGCTGCCTCATATTAAGCTCTTTTTGATCAAATAAATACTTCAGGCTCTTATGGTCACTGAAGATTTGAAACTTAGATCCATACAAGTAGTGTCTCCATATCTTTAGAGCAAACACAACTGCAGCTAACTCCAAATCATGAGTAAGGTAATTTTCCTCGTGTGGTCTCAACTGTCTGGAGGAATAGGCAACCACTCGGTCATTTTGCATCAAAACACATCCTAAACCCTTTAAAGAAGCATCAGTGTACAGAGTGTACGGCACCACAGGGTCAGGAATAGTCAATACTGGAGTAGTGGTTAACCTCTTTTTCAATTCTTGGAAAGCAGCTTCACATTTGTCAGTCCAAATAAATGGGGCATCCTTCTTAGTTAGCTTAGTTAAGGGCATCGCAATTTGCGAAAATCCCTTAATAAAGCGACGATAATAACCTGCTAGACCTAAAAAGCTTCGTATCTCTGTAACAGATTTTGGCTGTTCCCACTTCATCACTGCATCAATCTTGCTAGGATCCACCGCAACTCCATCTCTGGACACAACATGGCCCAAAAACTTTACTTCTTGGAGCCAAAATTCACACTTGCTTAATTTGGCATAAAGCTTATGTTCCCTCAAAACTTGCAAGACGATTCTTAAATGTTCACCATGAGCCTCCTCATCCTTTGAATAAATAAGAATGTCATCAATAAACACTACTACAAACTTATCTAAATAGGGTCGAAAGATCCTATTCATGTAATCCATGAATACCGCAGGAGCATTCGTAAGTCCAAACGGCATCACCATGAATTCATAATGCCCATATCTCGTCCGAAATGCTGTCTTAGGTATATCCTCTGCTCTCACTCTCAATTGGTGGTACCCTGACCTTAAGTCAATCTTTGAGAAAACTGCGGATCCCACAAGCTGATCCAGCAAATCATCGATTCTCGGAAGTGGATATTTGTTCTTGATGGTTACTTTGTTCAATTGTCTATAATCAATGCACAATCGGAGGCTTCCGTCCTTCTTCTTTACAAAAAGGACTGGAGATCCCCAAGGTGAAACACTCGGTCTGATGAAACCCTTCTCAAGTAGCTCTTCATTTGCTTTTTCAGTTCCGCTAACTCTGAAGGGGACATCCGATAAGGAGCCTTAGAAATTGGCCCTGTACCGGGTACCAATTCAATTGAGAACTCTACCTCGCGCTTTGGGGGTAAACCGGAGACTTCGTCTGGAAATACATCCGCAAATTCTTTGACAATTGGGATATTCTTCACGCCTTCATCAATCTCAGCTTGGATAGAGAAGAAAACCATGTAGGCCTGGCAACCCTTCTTCATACATCTATCAACTTGCGCCGCCGACAAGAAAACATGATCTTGAGTCTCGACTGGGGTCACCGACAAAGAAGATAAAGACACACTCCTCTCTCTACAATCTAGGATAGCACCATTTGCAGCCATCCAATTCATTCCCACAATTACATCCATACCTCTCAGTGGTAGGATAATTAAGTCCATAGTTGTTTTCCTATTTTTAAACTCGACTACTAGGTTAAGGCATGCCTTAGCGGTCCTCACAGATTCTCCCGCAGGAGTAGACACATTCATATCAAACGGTAAAATACACACAGGCAAATCAAGGTTCTTTACACAAGTTTCAGAAATAAAAGAGTGTGTAGCACCCGAATCAAATAGTGCAACAATATCATGATGAAGGATTTTGATGTTACCTCTAATGGCATCTGGGGAGTTCATGGTGTCCTGAGTAAGAGCAAACACACGACCAGAGACAGTAGGATGTTGGGAAGGGTTCTTCATATTTGAGCCCTGGTTGTCCCACAAAACTTTGCAATGTGACCGGGTTTCCCACAAATGTAACAGACCCAGCACTGTCCGAAATGACGACGCCCGCATTTAGTGCACTGTTGAGAGCTCGCTGTACTCGGGGCAGGGGTAGATACTGTTGGGCTCCTCTGTGACCCGTAATAACTACTATGATAGCTCCTCTGTCCTTGGCCCCTTTGAAATGGACCCTTCTGCCTTCCTTGGTTCCATGAGCTACTCGAACCCTGATGGTTTTTCTTCATAATGCCTCCGGTGGGTCGAGGGTAGGTTGGGGGTCTACTATATGAATAACCCCTCTTCTCTCTCTCAACCTCCTTCTTACTGCGAGCTACTACTTGTAGTTTTTATGCACATTTCATCATAATCTCGGATATCTAGATGAGCCAATTGTTCCCTCAATTCTGGTCTAGCCTTCTCCAATAAGCGCTTAGCCTTCCATTCGGAATCATCCCTATACTGCAGGTACGTGGAGTATCTAGATAACTCCTGAAACTTAGCAATGAATGTGTCCTCATCGAGGTTCCCTTGCTTAAAGGCATGGAATTCCGCTTCCTCTCAGACCTTAACTCTGATGGAAAGTAATGCCTGAATAATTTTTCCTTGAATTCCTCCCAGGTGAGTGTAGAATCATCCCTGGGCCCTGCTGTCTCCCACCAATCTCTTGCTCCTTTCACTAGGAGCACTAATGCTACTTGTACTTTTTGATTGCTGGTGCATGTGACTACTCGAAAGATGGATTCGAGTCTCTTCACCCATTCCTCTACCACGGATGGTTTAAGGTTACCATCAAACGTAGGAGGGTTAAACTTCCTAACAGTTTCCCACACATCAGTAATGGTCGGTGGGGCTCTCTGTTCCTCCTGCCTAATTTCTTTCCTTCTAGACTCATGATCTCTCAGAGTGGCAGGATGTGAGGAACTGCCTTCCCCCACATGACTCTCAACATGAGCCCTATCTCCATTTTCAGTTACCTTTTGCCTCTTTAGCTCCGTCAACTCTTGTTCGTATCCTTGAACCTTGTCTGTTAATGTTTTTACAAGCATTCTTAATTCCGCCAAGTCAGGCTCCTCATTTGGCAGTGGCGGTGGCAGGTGCTCATGTTGGAATCCTGAGTTACCACGAGTAACAGGCATTTTCTCTCCCCTCCTAAAGGATACAAGATATAAATAATAAAATTAGCCTAGCTATATCATGGCCATACAATGAGAAGCACCATAACAATGTATATTGCCAACCGACTATATGCTCTGATACCAATATGTAACACCTCAAATTTACAAACCGATTTTTCGCAAGTTATTAATTCAAGAAATCATTTTTTTTCATTGAACCCTTATCATACCCTATCATGGTAAAAAATTTCTACCATGAACATCCAAGACAAATACACAGGTCTTAAATATCTCAAAAAGTAATTAGAACCATGAGGGACAGACATGATCCTCATAGCATGTTATTAAATTAGGTCATGAATCAAAAGGGACAGACATAATCCTCTTGGACATATAATGCATTTAATAAAAAGGATTAGAGTTTCATGCTCCATAGACAAGATATGTCCAAAGTCCCGTAAGTTGGCACAAGATACATTGTATAATCCAAAATAAGAGGCAACGTAAAAGATGGTGTCTCATACACCATAATTACACCTCTGGTGCTTTCTCGGCCGGATTCGCTCCTGTAAAAATATTAACCACGGGGAATGAGACTTAAAAGTCCCAGTAACCAAAAATAATATGTAATGATGCATGCGGATGTAACTAATCATGCGATTGCTAAGTGGGCACACAACATTTAACCGAACAATATTTTCAAACAAACCGAACAAGTATTTAATTGCATGACTGCACCTTATATCCTCCTTTCACCATGCTCGGACGCCAAATCACCCGGCCAAAGGTGAGTTGGACCAAGCGACACGCCACTCATTGGGTCCAATGAGGGCTTACCACGTGGTAATAATTAACCGAACAGAAATTCCCATTAACACCATACATTAAAATACCCTGACAAGTCATGCATCATTCAAATATCCAAACAGGAATATATCCGAACAATAATATCTCATCATGATAAAAAAAATAAATTTTTAACCCACTTGGCAATAATTTCAAACAAGTATATACAGTATTTATTTTCAATAATTCATAATTTTTCCAAACAACAAAACAACACATAACCATTCACAAACACACTCATCACAACACATTAATAATGGTTACCTTGTGTCTTGAATAACAAGTTCCCCTTCACAACTCCTTTTTCACCACTATCTTTGTCAATATAATCTACATAATTATTTCACAATACTATATATTAATTTTACATTAAAATAAATAACTCTAATTTAAAGAGTTAGAAAGTCTTAATCTATAGTCCATATTAACACTAATTTAAGATTTATGCCTCATTTAACTTCCCAAATTCTTTTCTAAAATTCTCGTACCCTAATGAACTATTTTTTTTTATCCTCAATTCACTTCTAGTATCACAATTTCATCCTTCTACATTCTAAAAATTCATCCAAAAATAAATTAAAAATTTTAGAATTATCCTGAAGCCTCAAATCACCTTTCTATAACCTCAAAAATACCTATTCATACTTAAATAAATATTTAATAATCATAGGTTTATCCCTACATCTCAGATTCCACATAAATTCAACCATATAGATCTAGATTTTAACTCAAAAATTCTTAAACATGAGTTTCAACCTCAAGAAAATATTCTATAATATTTATTATATCCCTAAGAATTTTAACCTATATTTTTAATCCATCATATCATCAGATTAACTATCCTATAGAAAAATCCTAATCAAAATATTTACTCTATCCTACAAAATAATCATATCACTAGAAAGCTAATATTATTTAGAAAATAACTATAAAATTAATTTTGTAATTAAATAAATTTTTAAATGCTAATCTAAACAGGAAAGTTAGAACATACCTGAAGAAAAAAGAAAATAATCCCCCCTTGCGAGAAAACGCCGAGCAACGTGAGAGGAAGAGAGAAAAATAATATAAAAATGGGATTGTGAGTCCCAAAATTATATTAAAAAAAACTATAGGTTTGAATTTAATTATTCAAACCTTTGGGCCCAAAGTTGCAATTTCTCTAAATTGCATCTTAGCCTCTCATGCTTCCTAATGCACACACCCCCTCCCTTTTTATACATGAAGGCACCTCTTCTCTTCCCTCATCTAACCAATGTGGGACTTAGAAACAACAACCTTCCACCCCACCCCCCCTTTTTTTTGTTCCTTCTACCTTCTCTTTTTTTTTTAACACACACATAAAAAAAATTATTTATGTATTATATCTTAACTAAATATTGCTTATGTGATTTTAAATTTAAATTTTTAAATTCATAATTAAATACCTAATCATAATATTATTTCTAAATAACCTCAAATAATATAAATTCCTATTATTATCATTTTTTCCTCAAAACCTAAATTCCACAATTTCTTTATTATATAAAAATCAGGATGTTAAAAATGTTTTAATAGAACTATTTAGGGTGTGATGTTCAACGTTTTCAAAATTAAGTATATGTGTTTAAAAAATTTTCTTGGTGATTCCTTCCTCTTTGATTTCTGAGTTTGTGGTGGTAGAGAATTTAAGATTTGGAAGAGGAATGAATTGATGTTGAATAATATGGTTTTTTAGGTTGTTAAGTAGTATAATAAATATCTAGAGTATAAATTTTGTTCTTATGGATCAAATTCTAAACTAAAATCTGAAAATATATATTGATTTTTGAGGTTTAGATGATTATTTAGGAAGAAACGAATATTATGGCTATAGGATTATGATTCTAAGCTAGCGACTTACTTATTTAATTTTTGGATATTTTAGGTGCGAATTTATA